TCCAACCTGCCCCCAAATTCCCAAACCCCTGTCATAAAAACCAAATTATCTACTCCACCCTATGTTCCTCTGTAAATATGTTTTAATGTAAGAGCACGGGTCTTTTGCTCAAGCCACTGATTTGGTGAAAGCAAGGACCCTAACTTAAGTTAGCTAATAAACTTTCCTATTGCTTTTTGCATTGTCGTGTGTTGGCAAATTCCTCGCCCCGAACAACTCCTTCATAACCTGGGCACAACAGACTCATTAACAATTTGTGATATGCAGTGACACAGCCTTGCTTGCTGAAAGTGAAGATGACTTGAAGCACTTACTGATGAAGATTAAATGCTATAGCCTTCAGTATGGATTACTCTTCAACATTAAAAAAAAAAAAAATCCTCACAACTGGACCAATAAGCATTATCACGATAAATGGAGAAAAGATTGTAGTTGTCGGGGATTTCATTTCACTTGGATCCACAATTAACACCCATGGAAGCAGCAGTCAAGAAATCAGACATAATATTGCACTGGCAATTCTGCTGCAAAAGACCTCTCTAAAATGTTAAGAAGCAAAGATGTCACTTTGAAGACTAAGGTACACCTAACCCAAGCCATAGTATTTTTATTAGTCTCAAATGCAAGTGAAAGCTGGACAATGAATAAAGAAGATCAAAGAAGAGTTGATGCCTTTGAATTACCGTGCTAGCAAAGAATACTGAAAATACTAAGGAGTGCTAGAAGAACAAACAAGCCTGTCCTTGAAGAAGCACAGCCAGAATGTTCCTTGGAAGTACGAATGGCCAGACTTTGGCTCACTTACTTTGGTCATGTTAGAAGGGACCATTCCCTGGACAAGTAGAGAGTCAGCAAAAAAGGGGAAGATCCTCAACAAAATGGATAGATACAGTGGCTGCAATGATGGACTTTAGCAAGGATTGTGAGGATGGCACAGGACGGGGCAGTGTTTCCTTCTGTTGTAGATAGGGTGGCTCCAGTTGGAGCTGACTTGATGGCACCTAACAACAACAACAATGGCTATGCTTAATGACCCTGCCATAAAAGTCCTGAAATTTTAACAATGAATAAACTGCAGATAGAGACCATAAACTCCCAGAAGTGGGTAATGAAGACAGAGCTGGACACCTGGTGGGGAGGGGAGGAGTGAATAAACTAGAGAATGAAAGGATAAAAAAAAAGCAAGCGAAACAGCATATAGGATGTTAACTGCACAATAAAAATAATTATTGCTGTTGTGATCATTACTAAACCAAACCCACTGCCCTTTAGTCAATTCCAGCTTATAGCCACCAGATAGGTCAGGGTAGAACTGATACACAGGCTTTTCAAGGCTATAAACCACTGCCAACATCCTTCTGCACAGGAGCTGATGATGGGTTCAAACCATTGACCTTTCAGTTAGTAAGCAAGAGTTTTAACCAGTGCATCACCAGGGCTCCTACGTGATTATTCCTAGAGCTGTTATTTCCTTACACATCACTTCCCATTCCAGAGGCCCAATTGTTTAATTTACTTTTTTTTTTCCTTTAATTTTTTATTGTGATTTGGGTGAAAGTTTACAGAACAAATTCATTTTCCGTAGAGCAGTTCATACACATTGTTTCATGACATTGACTGCAATTCCCCGAATATAAAAAGCTCTTTTCCCACTTCCTCCCCATAGTTACCTCTTCTCATTTACTTTTTTAAAATGGGTTTAATTTTATCGTCCTTATCACCTTTACTTTGCTCCCCATTAGTCTGTGTTTTGTTCACGACTGCATCCCCGGCGTCTAGATCAGTGTCTGCACACAGCAGGCTTACAATAAATGCTTGTTGAATGAATAAATAAATGAATTCTATTTCAGTTAACGAAAGAGAGTGTTTGCAGCCGGTTGGGTACCAGCTGCCCGGCGCAGTTTCCTTTGCCTGGGAGGGGCTCAGCCTCCGCTCCGCCCCCCGGCCCTGCTCGCGCTACCGGCCACTGTTTCCCGGCGGCCCTCCAGAGACGGGCGCACAAGATGGCGGCCCCGGAGGCCTGGGAAAGGCTGCTGTGGCTCGGCCTTGGACTCTGACGCGTGGCTAGGCACTGGAGACAATCCCCGCCCCGCCCGGTGACAGTGGTCGGGGCAGAGCTGCCGGGCCTTGTGGGGTGCAGCGCCCGCTCGCTGCGGTCTTCGGACCCTGCTGCCGACCGTGCCCCTGCCCCCAGGCAGAACCGAAGAAGGTCAGGCCCAGCCGCCCCGCCCCGTCCCTTCTTGCCCCGGGGCGGTCGCTGGGCTGTGGGTGGCACCCTTTAGAGCCAGCTTCAGCCACGTGCAGTCTCCATGGCGGTCACTCAGGTCCCGGGGGAGAAGGTTAGCATCCACACGGGAGAGACAGCCAAAGCAGGAGACAGGGACCTGCTTGTTAACGACTGCCCGGGGCAGGACGGGCCCCTCCAGCGCTCTTGGAGGCAGAAATGCGCCTCCTACGTGTTGGCCCTGCGGCCCTGGAGCTTCAGTGCCTCACTCACCCCGGTAGCCCTGGGCAGTGCCCTGGCCTACAGATCCCAGGGCAGCCTGGATCCCAGGCTACTAGTGGGTTGTGCCGTGGCTGTCCTGGCTGTGCACGGAGCTGGTAATTTGGTCAACACTTACTATGACTTTTCCAAGGGCATTGACCACAAAAAAAGTGATGATAGGACTCTAGTGGACCGAATCTTGGAGCCCCAGGATGTTGTACGGTTTGGAGTCTTCCTCTACACTTTGGGCTGCGTCTGTGCAGCTTGCCTCTACTTCCTGTCCCCTCTGAAACTAGAGCATTTAGCGCTCATCTACTTTGGAGGCCTGTCCAGCTCCTTTCTCTACACCGGAGGTAAGAATTGGCCTGTCTTTGGTGTTGCAGGTCTTAGTCACTTGTACCGGAAACTGCTACTTTGCAGAGGACTTAGGGTTAGTGCAGGGGTGTGTCAAAGTTTTTTTTTTTTCCAGAACTAAGTCACATTAAGTGACATCCATATGTGAGTCGTGTGGGTTTTTTAAAAATAGTAGTGAATCCTAGCATCCATAAGCTAAGATCCCAGCTTGGCATATAGATGTTGGGACTATTCAAATACACACACCTGAGGCATGGAATTTTTTTGTTTTCATTTTGTAGGGCATACTTTTAAAATGTAATTTTAGTGGAGTTAAAAGAGCTCAAAATTATACAGCTAATTATTTTCATCTAGTTGGCTAAGACACTTGCCTGCTAACCAGAGGGCTGGCGGTTCAAACCCACCAGCCACTCCTCGGAAGGAAGGTTGGGCAATCCTACTTCCGTAGTGATACTGCCTCGGAAACCCAAGGAGGGGTCGCTATGAGTCGGGGCGACTCGACAGCACATAACAACAACAACAACAACAGTTTGATAGTGTGACTTCTGGCAGCAGGTTGATAGGCCAGTGGGTAAGCCCTATTTATTGATCACCTATTGTGTGCCAGGTATTGTTCTAGGTGAACACAGCAAAGATCCCGCCCTTGTGGCACTTACTATATATTATAGTGAGAGGGTCAGAAAATAATACATTATAGTTAGGGTGACCAATGCTCTGGTTTGCCCAGGAGTGGGGGCTTCCCAGGACATGGAACATTGAGTGCAAAAACTGGAAAAACTCGTTGCCATTGAGTTGGTTCTGACTCATAGCAACCCTATAGGACTGAGTGGAATTGTCTCATAGGGTTTGCATAGTGCCTAAGGCACTTGACTGCTAACCAGAAGGCTTGCAGTTCAAACCCACCCGCCACTCCTCAGAAGGAAGGTTGGCCAATTTACTTCCATGGTGATTGTTGTTGTTTTGCCGTGGAGGCAGTATCACTAGGGAAGTAGGATTGCCCAACCTTCCTTCCGAGGAGTGGCTGGTGGGTTTGAACCGCCAGCCTTCTGGTGAGCAGTCAGGTGCCTTAGGCACTATGCTACCAGAGCTCCTACCACCTCAGAAACCCAAGGAGGGGTCGCTATGAGTCAGGGCCGATTCAATGGCACATAACAACAACAACATTTAAGAAAGCAGGCTGCCAGATCTTTCTTTGGTGGAGCAACGGGTGGGTTAACCTGCCAACCTTTGTGTTAACAGCTGAGTGCTTAACCACTGCAACACCAGGACTCCTTAAAATCAGGAAAGCCCCAGGTAAAATAGTATGAATTGGCCACTGTAAAAATGGCATGGTGGGGGAGGTGTCTGAACTCTAACCTCACAAAGAGGGAGGAAGTTCTTCATCAGCATCAACAGCCCAAGGCTGATTCTCTTGAGTCGAAGGTCAGACATGCCTCCTCTCTCCAAAGTTTACCAGTTTTAACCCCAGCCATCCCCACCATGGCATACTCCTCTGCTGTGTCCTTCATGTAGGAGGTTGCCGGCACAGGGACCCAAGGTCCAAAGGACAACCTCTGTTTGGTTCAGGTCTTCTTGGTCAGGTCCCCCGTCTGCCTCTGGGATGGCTCTTTTTAAGCCTAAAGGGATGGCAGAACTGACCAATTGTCTCTTAAGAGTTCCATACACCTTATTTCCATGTTCCAGCCCCTCCTCACAAGGGTGCCATGCACCTAATTTATAATCCAATCCCTTTGGTGGGCCACAAGCACCTAATTTGTATAGTCCTACCCAGTCATTTGGTGGGAGTTACAAAGGCTATAGCAAGAAGGGTCATATTAAGTAATTTACTGTGCTGTAGCCACCCTGATTATAGTATAAATGCTGATAGGTGCTATGAGGAAAAGAAAACAATTAGAGCAGAGGAGGACACACATTACTATATCAAGTAATCTGATCAGAGTAGGCCTCATCAAAAAGGCAAGATTTGAGCAAAGATTGAAGGAGGTAAGGCCCAGCACATTACCTAGGAGGAACATTCCAGGCAGAAGGAATAGGTAGTACAAAGGTTTTTAGGGCAGGAGTACTCCTGGAAGGTTTGGGGAACATCTAGTGTGACTGAAAGGTGAATAAGGGAGAGAAGTGTGTTTGGGGAAGGTTGGGAGGCCTTGTAAATCACTGGTCTGTACTCTAAAATGGGGGAGCCATTGCAAGGTTTTGAGCAAAGGAGTGGCATGATCTGACTTAATGTTTTAAAAGAATTCCTCTGTCTGAGGCATTGAGAATAGATAAAGGGGGCTGGGGCAGAGGTAGAAGTGGGAAGATCAAATGGGAGGTTACTGAGTAATCCAGATGTTTGGTGGCTTCAATCAGAGTTGTAGCAGTGGAAGATGTAAGATGAATCAGGTGTACAGGATTGCTGATGGATTAGATGTGATGTAGGAGAGAAACAGGAATTAAACATAACTGAAAGGTTTTAGCCTGAGAAGTTCAAAGAACAGAGTTGATGTCATTAAGTGAGATGGGGAAAGCTGAGGCTAGAATAGATTATTTGGTGGGAAATCAGGGGACTGACTTTGGGATTAGTTCTACAAGTAGAAATGTCATATGGGCGGTTGGATATAAGCCTGAGTTCAGGGGTAAGGTCTGGGCTGGAGATAGAAATATTTGGGAGTCATTGGCATAGAGATAAAGTTGGATGACTAGATGAGATCACCAGGGTAGGGGGTGATACCAGAGAAGAAGGAAGGACCAAGTCTAAGCCGTAGAGCACTCCTCTAAGATGTAGGGGAGAAGTTCTAAACCAGGCAAATCCAATCCATGGTAGTGGTGGTGTAGTGCCTAAGGCATCTGAATGCTAACCAGAAGGCTGGCAGTTCAAATCCACCAGCCACTCTCCGGAAAGAAGGCTGGGCAATCTACTTCCATAGGGATATCGCCTCGGAAACCCAAGAAGGGGTCGCTATGAGTCATATTTGACTTGACAGCAGTGGTTTTGGTTTTTTGGTTTAATGTTGCCATAACAAAAAATGCCAAAAGTAGGTAGCTTTAAAGAACAGAAATTTATTTTTCTCACAGTCCTGGAGGCTAAAGTCCAAATTAGGATCTCATCCATGTTGAGTCCTTCTGTGGGCATCTCCTAGTTTCTGGTGTCTGCCAGCAATCCTTGGTGTTCTTTGCTTGTGGATGGGTCCTCACATGGCATCTGCCTTCCTCCTTTATGTGTCTCTCTGGGTCTCTTCTGCTCTTTTTCTTACTCAGAAGTGATTATGTTTAGGACCTACTTTGCTCTGTTATGATCTCATTAACACAATAAAAGAAAATGTCTGTCTCCAGACAGGCTCATATTTCCAGGCACAGAGGTTAGAACTTCAACACATATCTTGGGGGAGAGGAACACAATTCACAACAGGGAGTGTCATAATAATGGTAGCCGAGGGACCGATTGGGAGGGCGTTGCAGATTCCACAGGAGGTCTGGTGGCGCAGTGCCTAAGGTATTTGACTGCTAACCAGAAGGTTGGCGGTACAAACCCACCAGGCACTCCACGTAAGGAAGACTGGGCAATCTACTTCCGTAAAGATTTACTGTCTCAGAAACCCAAAGGGGGTTGCTATGAGTTGGAATTGACTCGATGGCAGTGGGTTTGGTTTTTTCGGTTTTGCAGTATTCCAGGCATAAGATGACCATGATTTGGGTTTGAGGGAATAGAGTGTGGGCAATAGAGTGGGGATGAGGAGAATTGGGCCTGTGTGAGAAATGTCAGGTGGTGACAGGACTTGCGGTAGATTAGCAATACAAGAGGAGTGATTAAGGATGATTTTAAGTTTTAATTTATAAGAACTAGAAAGAGGAAGCAGCATTATAACTTCACTTCCTTACTGTTTTATTCATTATGTGGGTAAATATTTCTTTATGTGGAGATGGGGACCTGAAATCTGACTGTGATTCATTTAGCTTTTCAAAACCAGAAGATGCCTTCAGAGGTTATAGAGTTCAGTAGGCAGAAATGTGAGAGGCTGGGGTGAATATTCTGTGAGGGACTGATCTAGTGGCATTATAGACAGAAGAAATGTCTTGCAAGGGTTGGGGAGGGGAGAAAGAAACCAAATAACTGGATTGTAAGACCTTGTATGGCCTTTACTGGCTCTCCCATTGGAGTAGTCGGGTAGTAGAAACCCAGTGCTCTTTGTTGCAGGACTTTGTTGAGGGCCATTAGGAAAGAAAACTTGAAAGATGGGCTATGATGTGATAAGATTAGTTTTTTCTCTCTACCTCTGGGTCACACTGAAGGAGAATCTAGGGTTTGCTCCGGTGGGGAAGGGAGTTGAGTCACAGTCCAAGAAGTCACTGTTCTGGTCAGAAGTGGCTGGCCTTGTGACTGATGGATAGTCTCTGAATCTCCAGCGCTTGATCTCACACCAGCTCTCTGGTTTTCTGGCCGTAGGAATTGGCTTCAAGTACGTGGCTCTGGGAGACCTCGTCATCCTCATCACTTTTGGCCCACTGGCTGTGATGTTTGCCTACGCTGTCCAGGTGGGGTCCTTGGCAGTCTTCCCCCTGGTCTACGCTATACCTCTTGCCCTCAGCACTGAGGCCATTCTCCATTCCAACAACACCAGGGACGTGGAGTCCGACCGGGAGGCTGGCATCGTCACGCTGGCCATCCTCATTGGCCCTACCCTCTCCTACGTGCTCTACACCATGCTACTCTTCCTGCCCTACCTCATCTTCAGCATGTTGGCCACACGCTGCAGCATCAGCCTGGCCCTGCCCCTGCTCACCATTCCCATGGCCTTCTCCCTTGAGAGACAGTTCCGAAGCCAGGCCTTCAACAAACTGCCCCAGAGGACTGCCAAACTCAACCTCCTGCTGGGGCTTTTCTACGTTTTTGGCATCATCTTGGCACCAGCAGGCAGTCTGCCCAAACTTTAAGGGAACCAGTTGCTTCTCCTGCAACCTGTCCCCCTTTCTTGGCATATGTTGAGGTCAGAATGCTCCAGAGGGAATGGAATTGGGCAGTGAGGTTCTGCCTTGAGAGACAGTTCCGAAGCCAGGCCTTCAAC